AAAAAAAAATTCAAAAACTATACATTTTTGTTGTGTCGGCCCTGACCCGGCCCGGCCCGGCGGGTCGGGGTCGAAAAAATCCCGACCCGGTATTGGCCCTTATGAAATCCGAGTCGGGCCCGGACCCGTGGTCAACGGGTTTGACCGGGCCGGGTCCGGGCCGGGTCCGGGCCTGGTCCGGGCCGGGTCGGCGGGCCGGTTGACCCGTGGCCATGTCTAGGCCGAGGGCCTAGAAAATATTAAACGAGAACTCGACGGGGAGTAAGATCGTGGTCAAGCCACACACCCAGCCCTGCCGGCGGAGAGACCACTCGTTGCAGCCCGAGGGGAATAAAAGATGCTACGCTCGCCATGTGGTCCGCCGCAAAATTAGCCTCCCGATGAACGTGTCGGATCTGGATCTGGGTGGTCCATTCCCGTTGAATCAATCTACGAATAGCCGTAGTAATAGAGGCATGAGGCCCATCCACATCCTCGATCCCAAGGACCAACTTCGTCACACATTAATTATCAACTTCAGCTAGTACTCGACGAATCTCGCGGTCCCAAGAAAGGTGCAAAGCTTGGAAAAGACCCCAATGTTCGGCACCCGTGATAGTACAAGCGCCAATATTCATGAGGAAACCCTCCACCCATCTCCCCAACTCATCCCGAATTAATCCGCCCGTACTACTTCGTGAACGTGTTAGAATCCTGACCCCAGCAGTCATGCTGTAACCATGGCAGAACTCTATGTGGCGATACATCTAATTAGTGGAATCCACATGTAACCATGGCAGAACTCTATGTGGCGATACATCTAATTAGTGGAATCCACCGGGACTTGTAGACGCTAGAGAATATGTTCATCTCGTTTCAAAATCAAAATCTAACTTTTTTATCAAAGACATTATTTTTGATGTGACGTCACTTGCACACAATATTCATCTTTGTTTCAAAAGATTTCAGCAAATAATCCCGTTTGACAAAAGCAAAGTGAAAACGAGAAAAAAAAAAAAAATATAGTAAAAATCAACGCAGCAGAAAAGGCATCACCAGCTCACAATCACACGAACTTTGGATAAGCGGCTATCCTATCCTGTTTGGTACCAAACAAGACCGAAAGGTCCCACTCAGTTTCCCATTAGCAATTAATGAGGTTTGAAAATCTAATTTTATCCCACATTTAAAGCCATACAAAATCTTATCATCGACTTTATCCCACATTCAATGCTTAAATTAAAACAAAAAATTATCATGACAGCACCATAAGCAGTTAAGCACACACCACAAATTACATAAAGCACAAATTCAAGGGCTATAAACAATCCAAAAGGCTCTCTCCATTTTATTCTTCAATCACCAAAGAGAGACAAACCAACAAATTAAAGCAAGAATCTTAAACATTATCAATAGAAACAAAGAGAGGACAACACAGCATCATATTTCTCTGGTCTGTACAATGCATAAGGTCATTGGCTTCTCTCAAGTCAAAAGCTAGTTGAGCAGTCTATTTCATATAATCAAATCTCTCCCTATCTTTTTCAGTAAAAGCTTTTTCTTTCTCTCTCTCTCATTACCATAACTCACCTTTTTTTCCCCATTTTTTGTAGTTGCTCCTTTTTCAAATAGTTCTTCCTCAAGCAACACTTATGAAACCATCTCCATTTTTCAATCTAGACATCACCGGAAAAGATTGGCCGCCGGTCGACAAAGAAAGCTCGGGGGGACTGAAGTTGCGATCCGCCATAGCCGAAGAAATTGGGACATGAACAATTGGGACTTGATGCACAAACACCGGCTGAGACTGAGAGCAATTCATACGGTCAGCTTGAGCTAAACCCGAGTTTTCCATTGAGTGGTGGCCGGTTTTCTGCATTGGTAATAAAACCGGGCTAAAAGACACGGGGAAAGGCACCATCGAGAATCCATTGATATTGGGAGTTACAGCAAATGGCACAAAAGCCGGCTGAGAATGAGAAACTGGTTGAGCTCTGCTTCCATTGTTGCTATCTTGATGGTTTTTAGCTTCTTCCATTGGTGTTTCAATAACCTGATGATCATAACAAAGTAAAACCCAGAATTATATTCATTAGACTCATCAGATTGGAGCACAAAAGCCAACAGAATGTATACAAAACTGTGGGAATTCTACAATATGCTTTTTGGAAAACAGAAGCAACAATGAACAATCAGATTGGAAAATTCTATATCGACTTTTGACCTGAAAAAAAAAAAAAAAAAGGCAATTTAAACATATACTAACATGGTGAATATATGCATGCTATATATGTTGTATTGGCTTTATTGGTCAGCAGCACATATCATCTTCTGACTTATGAAGTATGAAACAACAAGAACAATTTGAACAGAAATCCATTAACTTGATCTACAAGCACTTTCAAAACACACGAAGAAAAAAAAAAAGAGTTAAAACGGGAATTTACAGAGTCGGTGGTGATGTCGAAGAGGCTCGAACGACGCCTCCGGCGGTTAAGGTTACTTCGGCGAAGAAAGTATTTCTGAGCGTGGCTCGCGACTTGAGTCGGGGTTCGAGTCTTGACATAGTTTCTAGAGATCCCTCTCCAATCTCCTTTGCCAACCTTTTGCAATCCAACAAGAAAAAGCCTGTGCTCTTCCTCTGTCCATGGGACCCCTGCAAGCAAGTCACAAAAACAAAATGGATAGCAGATTATCAGAATTTGATTCACATGAAAGGAAAATCAGAGAAAATCTCATGAGAAACCTGAGTTTTCTTATCCTAAACAGCAAATGAATTCATCAACAATCAGAAATAAAGAGCGAAACTCACACCCAAAACCCAATCAAGCAAGCAAATTCGATTTGTGAACTCTGATTGATCAAACCAAACCAAAAGGCGAACAAAATAGATGAAATAACGTGAGATGACATAATATTTTCACGATTGATCACCACAAATCTCAGATTCAACTGAAACCCAATACCTTCAACTTCAAGGAAGCTAATTAACACAAAAAAAAAAAAANNNAAAAAAAAAAAAAACTGTAATCGGAGATCTGACCTCGCTTACGCTCTCCAGCCCCGCTGGACGGTGGCGGAACCGCATCATCAGCGGAGGCATACCCAGCGGCTCCACCACCCTCCGCCACATCTGCCGCCTTGGGAAACTCCTTAACGCTCGGATCGCTGTTGCTACCACCACCAACAGGTTCGTACTCGGACAGATTGTTCATGCTCACGCACTTCCTCATCGGATCGACCTTCACCCTGACACCAAACAGCATGATCTCGCCGGCGTCGGAGCCACTTCCCCCACCGCTCGCGGCGGCGGACGGCGACTCACTGCTAATCGACATCGGGTTTGTTTTCCTCGGCAAAATAATAATAATAATAATAATAATAGTTATTAAAAAGCAAAGTAAAGAAAGAGATGAAGAAGTTGAGAGATTGAATGAGAGACGAGTTTTGGTTCTTTATATTGTGCGGGAAAAATAATAAATAAATAAATAAATAAATAAATAAGTTGTTCTTATTATTTAGGAGGAACGTGACAGCCGTACAATGCCTTGCTGGAAAATACTTATTTAATTTATCAATAACAGTATTAATTATAAATAAATAAATAAAATATGGAAAGCATATATATTTGGGGAGTATTTATTTCGTTTCGATAAATAAATAATTGGGATGAGATAAGGAAAGATTGATGAGCTGTTGGGCAACAACAGAGTAGAAGATAAAGGGATAAAGAGATATAATTTGCTTTCATAATTGTTTTTGTTTTTATTATATTATAGGAAATAAAATAGTTGTAGAAACGAGTTGCTTTATTTATTTTAAAAATAATATTAAGTTTAAGTTATGATAATAAAATAATATTGCCAATAATAAGTAAATTGATTAATTTGTTGATGATTTACCTATTTAAACAATGCTATACCATGCAATTCAACAAGTCAAGAGAGAACTCAACTCTACTTTCCTATATTAGAGTTTGAATCGTGAGAACATAGGTGCATTACTGTAAACTAGCCGAGCCGAGTTCGAACTAGCTTAGGGTGTTTCAGTTCTAATAGGCTGAGCTCTGCTCGGTAAATAAACGAGCCCGAAATTGAGTTCGACTTTGGCTCGTTTATCATCAATAATGAGACGAGTTCGAGCATTAACTAATCGATCTCGAGTTTTAACAAGTCGAACAATGTAGACTTATATAATAACTTTCTTTTCATGTCTTATCAATGTGCTCGAGCAGCTTGTTTATCAAACGAGCCGAGCAGAACTCGAGGCTTAAGGAGTCGAGTTCGAGCCGAACTAAGTCAGACTCGTTTAATTTAGTAGGTAATAACATTAAATATAATACATGACGAGATGTTAAACAGGCTAGTTCGAACTGTTTTGGGATAGCCGTAACGGGCTTCCGATTAAACGGTACGGGCCTGAAAAGCTCGAATTTAAACAGGCTACCAATAAAGGGACCTGACCCTAACCATAGCAGGCCTCGGGCCATGCGGGCTATAATAATAATAATAATAATAATAATAATAATAATAATAATAATAATAATAATAAATCAAAAAATAAAAAGAATAAAAAATATATAAAAAATTACCACGGCTACCTAACAAGTGTTTTCAACGGCTATTCAGTTTTTACCGCTCTATATATACAACTACACATCATATATGAACACACATTCTAAACTCTTAAATAACATACTTTTTCTCAACATAAAACAAAATATATATATTCGAACTATTACTTACCATTACTATTTTACTATTTATTTTGTATTTAGGAATTTTCACGATATTTGAAAAATAAAAATTCTATCACTATGTTTCATGTTTTAGGTGTTTGTCTCATGTGTTTCCTATTGGCTATTAGTGATTGACTTAAATATTTTGGTGTGAAGTGCAATAACAATATTGTTACTAATTATCTTTCAAAATCATAATAGTCCATTACAATTCATACTTATTACATGTGAAGTGAAATAGCAAAATTGTAATATACAATAAATCTAAGAGCTTATTTGTTGCAAACATTTACACCGCCCAACTCAAGTTAAACGAGTCAGCCTTAGCGAGTTTCTGGCTAAACGGTTCGGTCCTAATTTAAACGGTAGCTCCCCCAGTTTCTTTCCGAGCTAAACAGGCCAGGCCGGGCCAAGACTTTTAACAACTGCATACATGACTATATAATTTAGAGAGATTTGACAAATATTAATATTAAATTATTCTGTCATTTATTCTAAGCTACACAAAAACAATCATTGGAATAGAACCATAATGAGTTGGGGCTTGGACCACAACAAAAGAGATAGGATGCAATTAAAAATCAATGAAATGATGCAATTTATATCCCCAAGCAAAATCCACACATTAATGTGATTCAATCTGTTGGAATAAAATATAACATACATACATATATAGAGAAATGCTACGGTTTCGATACGGAATCATTTCGTCGCGGTTGTAACTGTTAGATCAATTATCATAATGATTAACGGTTACAAATTTCGACGAAACGGTTCTATAACGGGACCGTTGCATTTCCCTACATGTATATTGTCATAGTGAACTCATTTGACAACTTAATAACTTCTTACCACAAACCCAAACAGAAAAGTTTTAGGAAAAGAAAAAAAGAAGGTAGCTAGCACGAGATATTTTCTTCTAAATTTCATGAAGGTTCTTCCCAATTTCATCGAAAAAAGTCCCATTTGACTTTTTATTGACACGTGGCCCAATGAGCATCCATCTAGCTACCCGGGATTACGTCTAAGATTTAGGTAAAATTGCAAAATAATAGCAATATATACTTCAGTTATAATTTAAAAATAATTTTGATAACATTTATTTTTAATAATTGGGCCATGCACTTTAGTTTACTAGGTTAGAATGACTGATGACAGATGTGTTTTATAAATTTTTTTTTTTCTAATATATATATTGCTTTGCACTAAAATTAAATAATCTTTTTAACTGATCTATTACAAGTCTTCTTGGTAAGTTTTATTAAATTAATTTCAAGGAAATTTGCCCAGTTGACATATTGTGAAAAATATTGATATTTTAAAAGGATGGGATTGACTGGTCAAATGTGCCTTCCATACTTTTGCAAGCTATTGTACGTTTATGAATTAATTAATTAATTTAAAATAATTATAATTATAAAATTATTAGGTTGTACAATAGTTTCTCTATTCAAGATGATCAGTTCCGCTCACCTGCCCACGGTGGGCAGTGCCCACCACTTTATTTTACATGAAAAACGTACTCTGAGAATACGTTTTTCAATTAAATTTAATTGAAAAACGTATTCTCAGAGTACGTTTTTCATGTAAAATAAAGTGGTGGGCACTGCCCACCGTGGGCAGGGAATCAAAATTATCAAGATGATAAAAGGGCATCAAAATTATTGTGCTAAAGCTACCCCCAACAACCACTAAATCTTATAGTTCTATTTAGTAATTTATTTTCATGTGTACCAAATACCAATAATAATACAATAATCTCAATATTTTTTTTCTAAAAAAAAAATTATTTATCCCCAATGTATGTTACATACATATGTGTACGAAACTTAACGTCCATATATCTTAATTAATTAATCCAACATAATATTAATTAACAACTTCATATATATAATTAATTATAGCATTAGACAAGTTGATAACATGGCTATTGATTAGTCAATACGGTATGATGATTGTAAATTAATCAAGCATGATTAGTTCTTCATAAGTTGATGGGAAATTAAATTGATTTGATTTGTAAATAAAAATGGGCATCACATGAAAAAAGATAAGGTTAATACTATCAATTAGTTTATAAATAAACTATCCAAATAATCCAAAACACAATAGAAAAAAAATAAGAAAAAAAATACATTACAACACATAAACCCTACTAAACACTTAGTATAATAAACCCACCTACACCATTTGAAGCCCTACATAGACTTTCCCCCTTCTCTTACATATATATGTTCTAGTCTATATTATACACTTATGAGACTCCAAATTTAAGGTGATCTAGCAACATTTTGCTTGAATAAATACATCACAATCCCTAGTTTAACTTAAACAGCACATATTAATGTACATTTTCTAGCCGTACCTAATCGGCATCTCGACCCCAAAAATCCAGCGTTCGTGAAAATATTGGAGTGCAAATGATAAAAACAAAAAGTGTATCTTTTTCGGTACCAATCGTATTCAGATGATTGGATCGTTTTACGGCTGTTTTGGGTCAACGGAATAAGTCCGGGAAGGACCACATGATGAATTTGGCGAAGCTATCGGCCTCAAGGAACTCGATGTGGGCTGCTCGACCGATAATAGTGTTGAGGTTTCTGCCGTGTAAGGAGATGTCGAAATTAACATCACATCGCATGAAAACCCGATGCTCGGAGGATGGGGCTCGGATTTGGTCCAAGCAATCGTTGAGCATTTCTAGAAAGACTTTGCCCTTTTTGGAGAAGTCTCCAGAAGATGCTGGGCACGTCTCGATTCTGGCCGAGTGGTATGGGACATAACCGTCCTGAAAAAATGTGAATTGAGATTCATGAGCTAAAAATTATGTGTAAGAAATTAGATTTTTTTTCTCCTTTTTTCATAATAATAATAATAATTGCATAGTGTTAAATTTGCTCAACTCGAATTCTGCTACGATGTGTCTAAGTTCGTTTGGGATTTTAAGAGACATTTTAAGACTTTGAAGGTTTCAGATTTTTTAAGATTTTGAGATTCAAGAGGAAGGAAATCTTGAGTCTTGAAGCGGGAGGTTTTTGTTTATGAAATCTCAAGAAGTCTTAAAAATTCTTAATAAATCCTAGTGTCAAATAATGGACTAGATCAAAATGGCTCAATTAAATTCTAGTGCTTCTTCTATTAGTGAAGTTTCTAGAAACAAAAATATATATCAAACGACGCAATGCACCTTGGGTCGCTATGGAAACAACCTCCTTGTAATTATACAAGGGTAAGCGCTGTGTACAACTGACCCCCCAGACCCCAACCAGTTGGGAATATACTGGGTATGTGTTGAATTGAATTGAATCGAAATCCTAGTGTCAAATAAATTAAATACCTTGTGATTTGTTAAAGACTTTTTGAAACCTCAAATGAATACCTCTGGGAATTTTAAAGTCTTAAGAAGTCCAAATTAAATACACCAAGAATCTTAAAGTCCCAACAAATCTTTACGAACGACCAGAGGTGGGTTTACAAGTAACTTTTACTTCAAATTATAATTTACATGTTGTCTTTCTATTTGCCATGACATTAAAGGACACATTGTAGCAAATATTCTAGTTTGTTGGCTTATTTACAATTGCAAGGTAATGATAATCTTTCTTTTTTTTTTCCTCATGAAAATATAAGAGTAACAAGATTGCATCAAAATTCAACATGCCTACTTTATGTGCCAGAAGGGCGCTTATGTTCGTGATAATTCGGGATAAAAAAGATAAAAGGGAAAAAGATAATAAGTAGATAAATGAACCAGCAAAGTAAGATGAGCAGTACCTGAGGTGAAGACAACAAAATAATGTTTTGGAAATGCTCCAGTGTCTTTTGCTGAAATTTTGGCCAAAAAAGAAAAATTATCAAGAAATCGGCAAAGGGATTATTATACGAAACAAGCAAAAAATTTCCAATATACCAGCAGAAAGAGTACAAGATGTACCTTACACAGTTTGTACAAAAAAGTATTTTGCAAATCGGGATCATCTGTAAAAGTCAACTGGTGAATGCACTGTGTTCCTTTGAGTTTCTTCAAGAGCCACAAACCCCCATTAAACAAAGAGTTCGAACTGTAAAGATAACCGAGATGTGGGCCAGAGACAGAGATATATGTATGAAGGTATCTCAGGTAAGGTTCCATAATGCTATCTGCAGAGACACAATATTATCACAGGTACTAGTGAATGAGCAGGAGATTTTCTATTTTTTTTTTTTTTTATTTAAAGTATAAACCTGTAAGTGCAGTTCTCAGTATGATATTTCCAATGGAATGTCCAACAAAGCTAAGCTTAATTGTGGTCAAGATCCCAGTTCTCGATGCTTTATCCATTTTCTTTTTGATAAAAGATACAACTTCTAATGCTAGTCTTTCTCCCATTTCTCTAAAATCGCCAGATGTCTTATCCTCATTGGCCTCAGACATTAAAAATTCCACCTTTGGGTCTATCAGAAGCCACTGATTTCGTATGAGTCTTAAGTCTAGATGATGACCCTGCATACAAAATGGATCTTTTAGAATAAAAATGTCCAGATGTTTCCAGATAAGCATATCGTAAAAACATGCCTGGAATCCATGGACAAAAACAACAATCTTTAGAACACAGCCATTTTGGCGAGTGGTGACCGGCAACTTGTTTGGCAGGTTAGCTTCGACCCCAGCTATTAAGGCATCAATATCTTTTTGGTCCCTTTGGGTAAAGTAAGAATTTCCACTGGTCGAACGAACGGGTGCATTAACAACACGTTCTACGACTACAATGGGTATGCGTGATGGGTCCCCGAATATTTGCAAGTCTTGAATAGAACGATTGTTCATCTGAATAAAAGGGCAAAAAGAAAAAAAAATAAATAAATAAATAAGAAATTGATATTGATAAGCTCCCAACCAATTGACTTGTACCAATTTGTGAAGCTTACCCTCATCTGTGCAATACTTCGCCTATGAAGCTCGGCTCGCATGGTAGCAGTCTGTACAGGCTGCAAACACCAAACATATGTTAACCCAAAAAAAAATGGGTTCTTTGTCTAAACAGAACTGCTGAAAATTGACATGATATTGAATTAAGGGCAAAAATGCATTTTTAGTCATGTTGGTTTAATGCCATATCAATTTTAGCCCTAAGATTCCAACTTTTTGCCTTTTGGTCCTATGATTTAAAATGTTGTTGCAATTTCAGTCCTCAAAAGACTGAAATTGCATCTAAATTATAAATATAACTTATCAGACTGAAGTTGCAATAAAATTTTAAATTACAGGACTTAAATTACTAATAAAAAATCCGACCCATATATATAAATTGGGAATTTGTTGCAATTTAGTCCTCAAATGACTGAAAGTGCAGCAAAATATTAAATTACAGGGCCAAAAGGCAAAATGTTAGAATCTTGATACTAAAATTGCTATGACGTTAAACCAACAGGACTAAAAATGAAATTTAGCCTGAATTAAGTGACATAGCACAGTAATTACATCGACGCTTGGCTTGCGCAAATTTCCTCTGCCACGTGACCCGTGGCTAGATGAATCATCCACCACACTGCTAATATATTGATGTGGCATCTCAACTTTAGTGTAGACCATCCAGATCGACCATTCGGCCTTTCGATCAGCCGCCCATTGATTGCGAAGAAGTTCAAGGATCTTCTTTGTGTTAGCCCTGAAAGTGAAAAGCAATCAGTTTCTGTACATCATTTACAAAAAAAACGAAAAAGATGCATGGAATTAGAAAAATGTAACTTTCTTTTAATATTGGGAGATTAAGAGGAAAAGACCTGTGATAGTTTAAAAACGTGGTCCACAAGTGAAACACTTGATTGCCAATCAAGTCGAATGACTTCAATATATCATCTTTGGACATAGCATTGAGAAAAAAACCGTCTTGATCGAAATCAACTTCACCGTTTGATTCCTGGTCAGGTAATAAAAGCAAGGGGATATAAAATGTTGAAATCGTAAACAGAATAAGAAAGTAATGTGAATGCTATGACATAAGTTTTAGCACCTCCAAGGTATTATTGAAAGCAATGCTTGAAACACGATTTGAAACTTCACAATCAGCTATTTGCCGATTAGACCGTAGACTTGGATGGAACAATTCATTAGGAGTAATATCTTTAGGGTCAATTGGCTCATTGATAGCCGTGCTAATCTTTTGTACGTCTTCTAGAAGTATGTCGCGAGCACTCGATAATGATTTTACAAACACAGCCTGTTCAAGAATACACCGTAGAAGCGAAGACAGGGGAATGAGATTGATACAACCGACAGGAAGTATTAAAGGTGCTGACAATATGCATGTATATGAACGTTGGAGTTAAAGAGGCAATATGGGAAATTTCTGGCATTTGAAGATAAAGAATAAAGAGAAAACAAAAAGGATACAAAAAGAATTAATGACTCTGTCCAACATGAGAGTGCATCGCAGAGAAACGAACATTTATCAGTAAAATAGAAAACAAAGAAGAAAGACATACTTGCTGTGATTTATCATTCTCCCCATTGATGCCATCTTCAGTAGCTTTAGCCTCACTGAAAGAACAACATTAGAAACTAGGACATCAAACAAGAATCTAAAAGAAAGATGGTTGCCCAAAAGTACAACCAATCGTCACTATGCATTTCTTCATCATTCCTTCCAAATTACTCATCTTACAATAACTTCATCAATGCGGGGTGCCTATTGTTTCTCTTTGATTTCATCGTAAAACTCATTCTTAAACCTTACAAGAGAAATAAAAAAGAATCTGAAAAGAGACAACCTATTTGTGGAAAAAGAAACACACACACACACACACACACACA